TCTCTGGTGAAACCTCTCGCTGCCCTTGAGCCTCTGGCCTGTACCCCAGTTCTGTATGAACAAATAAATATATCTTAAAAAAAAAATTTGGAGTAGAAGGGAAAAATATGTCAGTAAAATATGAGTGAATTTGGGAAAAATAATAAAAGATGATATAATGCTCTCTATGGGTCAGATCATGTTGTGCTAATTAGTGGATGCTATAAACCTACAGATCACTATTATGATATATTTCTTGAATCATGCAAAAATTCATTTCTGTGTGATCAGTCAACTTATGAGGAATTTCTACTTGACCAAATCAATTCTATGTCACTGTTAGAGCACCATAAAAAAAATAGGGCCATATACTATGTGATTCCAGGTATATGTCATCTGAAAAAGGCAAAATTATGGAAACAGTAAAAAAAAAAAAAAAAAAGTCAGTGGTTGCCAGGGCCCAGGGATCAGGGAGGATACAATGGCTTAGCACAGAGGGCTTTTAGCAATGAACTATTTTGTTTCAAACTCTAATGATGGATAGATGCCATTATAAACTTGTCCAAACTCACTGCACACACAGCATCCAGAGTACACGCTGACGTAAACTGTGGACTTTAGGTAATGCTTTGTCAGTGCAGGTTCATCACTTCAAACATTTTACTCTCAAGGGAGATGTTGATGGGGGAGACCATGCATGTGTGGGGAGGAGCAGGGAGTGTTGGGAAATCTTTCTACTTCCCTTTCACTTTTGCCCTGAACCTAAAACTGTTTTTGAAAAACATCTACTAAGAAAATTAGTACATTGGATCAATAGTAAAAAGAAACTTACTTCACACCCAGGTGGACTTTCCCACGAGCAGGATTCCTTCTCCTGAGGGTAAGCTCCTCTTTGTAAAGTGTGATCTCCCAGGCAGAGCTGGCACAAGGAAGGCTGAAAGTCGGGCTCTCCGGGCGGGATGTGCGCCACAGAGGGGCCCCCATACTTCAGGCTGGGACTCTGATGCTTGTCCACACTGACCATTGGGCTCTTGATCCATCTTCGTACCTGTACACAAGGTGCAAAAGAGAAAAAATAAACGATTTGGCCTCTTCTGATGTTTCATGGGGTACCCTTAGGTGGGAAATTTGGCTAATGAAAAATCATGAAAGGAGATTTAGTTTCATAACTGCTCTTTCTGTTCATTTTTTCCCATGGATAATTTATTTGTAAAACAGCATTGCCTTAACGTTGCTGTTGGAGGCTTCCATTTCTTTTCCTTAAAAAAAAAAAAAAATCAAGTAATGTATCTTTTCTTACAACGTTTGCTTTCTTTTCTCTGGCACCCCCATAGAATTTCTACCACAAGTTCACCCAGGTGCATCACCACAGTCCTTGTACTCTCCCCTCCCCCACGCTATATTTTGATCCCTTTCCCTCCCCCTCCCCTGCAGAATGTCTCTCATTTATATTTGTTTATTTTTGTTTTTTCCTTGATCCCCTATCTTCCTCCTATAAGTGAAACCATCCAGTAGTTTTCTTTTTCCTTCTGACTTGTTTCATTGCAACTGCTCTAGGAGGCTTAATAATGACCCAAATGTTGACCACTCCTTTACCCGGACTGGGTATTTCTGGCTGTCCATTTTCTCTTGCCGATTCTGTCTCCCCCTGGATAAGACTGAGATAATAATATTTCTTCTCAGGCTGTTGTAAAGACTTGACAATGGTTTTCAATATTCAAGTGTTTTACCTGGTATATAGTGTTCAATAGCTGGCGACTTTCCTACTTCTACTTTTACTGAATGATTTTCCTGAGACATTGCTAGTTCACAAATGTCTAATGTGGATTGCTAGTTATTCTAATTAGAGAAAATACTAACCCCATAATTTAGGATCTAATTGTTGCTAAATGAATTAGCATGTTTCACTATTACAAAAACTCAGTTGTATTAGAAGTTGCTTCTAGCTGAGAAAAAGATCAAGTTGGTAAAGTTCTAAAATTCACCTATTTGTCTTGCTTGATTATGAAGTTCCTGTAAGGTACAGAAAAAAAAAAGTTATTTTTATACTAGAAGGAATATTTATATAGCTCTCCTACATATCTGACATGCTTCATCTTGTTTAATCCTTAGGACAGGCTTACACGATGGGCACTATGATTAATTCCATTTTAAGGTGAGAAAATAGCCAAAGAGAGATGAAGCAGGTGTCCCTCAGACACAATCTTAGACTCAAGTAAAGGCAGAAGTCAGATATATTGAATCCAGAACCCACTCCTTCACACTCAGGCAGATTTAACACCCATTAAAGTGCTGTAGACCATAGTCATTGGATGTTTGAAATTTATTTTAACTTTTTATGCCTTTTCCATGCTCATTGAAACTCCTGAGGACCCTTTTATAGTTAACCAATTAGTGAAATTAGCATAATACTAAAAGGACTAAGAAACAAAATCACAGTGCTGAATTTTAATGAATAATGCTACAATTAATTTTAAAAATGCTATTAAAGTAAGATTGCAATAGTAAAAGAATGTTTAAGCAATTTGATGGAATATTATGCCATCACTAAAAATCAATATTGTGATGTGTCTGTGACAATATGGGAAATGTTCAGAACATAATTACATGAAGAACACCAAACGAAGAATTGTTCAATCACTGTAATTACAAATGTAAAAATATATGACTATCTATAGATGAAAAAATTAGCAACAGCAAAATAGAAACTGTTGTGTTCAGTGATAGGAATATGAGTGTTTTATTTTTTCCTCTTTGTACAATGTCTTTTCCTTTTTTTTTTTAAGAATACTTTCTTTAAAGTTTATAAGAATCTTAAGGAATTAAAATCATCATAATTCTTTCTTTGGCTACATATGTGACTTTTAATTGCAATAGTATTTATATGTACTCTTTTCAATAGTCATTTAAGAGTCATTTAGGAGGTTTCCTCCAGTATTCCTTGCACTATAGGGTCCCATAAACATTAGTAGGTATATTCAAAGTGTTTATTTGATTCATTAATGAAAGTCTAGATGAAACTCTGAAAGTTTGAGACTACAATACAGTCTCTCTCCCTAATGTTCATACCAAATGTGTTTTTGATCAATCTAAAACATTAAATTTCACTAGAGATGGAAAATGTTTTTTATTATTCTTATTCAGAGGATTTGGAACTTGAAGTTTGGTAATCATTTCTGATTAGTTTCCAACCTTGCTTTTTAAAGTCAATCTTTTATTCTGGCTTACTTTCAATGTCTCTTTTGCCAAGTTGATTTAACTTAGGGATTACTATGAATAGAATTTTGAACAGATTATCTTCAAATGAATTTGTATGGCCTGTCTGATTAAAAATTTTGGTATAGAGAAAACAAAAAGGCATCAGGAAAAAAAGTAACTGTAGTAAAGCAAAAATCAAAATCATTAGGCATTTATAGATCAGAGACATTCTGTAGGGGAGGAAGAGGAAGCCACTTCCGCATGAGCGCATGAGTTTGATTCCCGCCTGGCGGGGGGGGTGTGATCCACATGGCGCTGCAGACCTCTCCTGACCCGCCCGCTGCTCCCCTCAGCAGTGTACTTCGTCGATCTGCCTGTTCTGTTCCCCATTCTTTCTCTGGTGAACACCAGTTCTGTATGCACAAATAAATGAATCTTAAAAACAAAAAAAAATGAAGGATGATATAATAAATATATTTAAAAAATTTAAAAATCTTGGTATAGGCCCTCCCTGGTGGCGCAGCGGGTTAAAGCACAGCACTGAGAATCTAAAGCCGCTTCCGCATGAGTTCGATCCCCGCCTGCCCGGGAAGTGACCACATGGCGCCGCAGACCTCTCCTGACCCGCCCGCTGCTCCCCTCAGCAGTGTACTTTGTCGATCTGCCTGTTCTGCTCCCAACTCTGTCTCTGGTGAGTCCTCTCACTGCCCCTGAGCCTCTGGCCTGTACCCCAGTTCTGCATGCACAAATAAATAAATCTTAAAAAAAAACAAAAAAAAAACTTGGTATAGTAAAATGTTATTTACATTTATTTAATGGGCCAATATATTTAGAATAAATCTCTTGCAATATCATCTTACAATTATGAAATTCATAATGGAAAAATGTCCATGTGATTAAATCTAATCTTTCTTCAGGTTATAGAAAAAAACCTGTTCTTATCAAAGGACAAAAGTTTAGATAGATTATATCTTAAGTTAAAGTATAAATGACCTCTAAACTTAAATGATCTGTTGACTATTAACAATCGTAAGGGTTATGAATCACATAAGAAATTATAATTTCATTTGATTTCCAGCTAAAAACTCTAAAATAGTTCAAATGACCTTGAACAAAATCTGTCATAAGTCCAAACACAACCAGGAGATGTTTTTATAGAATTTTAGAGTTGGAAGAGACCCAAAGACTTTAGTAAATTGCCCAAAATCACACTGAAAACTATTATGTGGTAAAATCTTTATCTATTGGTTTCAGCTAAACATTGATCGTTTCTACTGGCAAATGCAAAGTTTTCAGAAACAGGGATAGGAAATGTCTAAAGTCTCATGACCAGGGTACACAAATAGGGAGTGATGGGTAGTGTGGCAAACTGGGGATTTGTGTTTGTTGAAGGACATTTAAGTTCAAATAAAAAACAAAAAATCCAATTAAACAAGCAAACAGGGGTCCCAATTTAAACTTTGAAGTTATTCTGTCAAGTAGAATAGCTTTGAAGTAGAGTTCTATGAAGTAGAAATGAAATGATTTGTTATCTACTAATATTTAAAAATATAATCTAGTTGCTTCACTACTTTGACTTTCATTCATTCAGTAATTCATCAGTGCAGACCAATTATGTGTAACATTGAGAATAGAGTTGCTAGTAAGATACATGCCCGAAGACCTGCCCTCCTTGAAGTATGGCTAAAAAAAAAATTCTATTTATTCAAAAAACTAAATTCTTCAATAAAATAAACAAATGCACTTAATCTGTAGGAGAACTGCAGGCCATGTATTCCTGATCCCAGGGGGTTGGAGAATCCAGTTTTAATTGTAGGAGAAAAGAAAACCTCATGAGGAGGCCCCTGGGCTGCCTGAGGCATCAAGGCTCTTTGACATCCAAGTAGGCTATCAAATAGGCAGCTGGGTCCTGAAAGCTGTATTTCAGGGGAAAGAGTCCGGTTGCAAGTGTAAGTTGGAAACTTGAAACAGTCTTTTTCTCCTGACGCCTTTCAGAAAGCAGAGGAAAGCAGTATGTGTCTAGTAGGTGTTATGCTCATTTTTCTGGAGCTTTGATTATTAGAATTGATTATATTTAACTCAAACACACTGAAATATGATTTACTCAAGTCTTCTAAGAAGGGGTATGTGTTTTGTGGTTGAACCCATTCCACGGGGGTGCAAGGCATGGGTATGATTGGTATTTCATTAGAGAAAGTCCTGACTCCAAATGATTTCTTCCTGAGCTTCATGAACATGGCAATAAGATATTCCTCCTCTTTCCTTAGAGGATGTGGCAAAGGAAATTTAGAAATACTCCTCATCTCCAGATGCATTGGGAGGAAGGCGTTACTTATAAAAATAGATATAGTAAAACATTTTGTAATAGGACAGTTGCAATAATTGCATGCTTTGCTTTAAGATCTTTAATCTCCTTAGGTAAAGTCCTCCTATGGGCTTCACTGTGTCCCTTCTTCGCTATTTCTTTACATATTTCACTGGTTTAATAGTGTCCCAAGTGGTTTTCTTTTAGGCCTGATTAATGACAGGATTTATGGTGCTTACCTGATGTGGAGAGTGTGGCTGGGCTGTGAGTGAATGCACCAGGCCTTCCTTCCTGCCTTTGAGTCCAGGCAAGGTGCCCTCTAAAACTGCTGAGTGGAGAGAAGCCCTCCCTCTGTCCTTGAGGGAGTTCAAGCTACAACTGGCCTATTGTGTTCCTTCAGGCACTGAATTGCTTGGTGGGAGGGAGTAGCTGGCTGTGAGAGGCCTCAGGAGCCCCTCAGAGACCAGTCACAATGGCTCTGGAAAAGCTGTAGCAGCTGTGTGTGTGTGAGAAAAATGAATGCCCGGATACAAGCCCCAGCACTG